GCAAATGCGCGTGTGGCATGCAAAGAATATGAGCGTTGGGGGGAGGCGACATACTCTCGCGATACTGGTCGGTCTTCCTCGCCCGGCTTGGCGTCGCCCGGCTCTCTCTCGCAGGCCTCGTGGGCCGACAGCAGATGCTGGAGCGGCGCGGCGCTGGGTAGGGTGGACCCGCGTGGTCGGATGAAGTAGGACAGCAGCGCGAGCAGCGGCCGCAGGTGAGAGGGGCCGAGCCCGGTGAGAATCGTGCGCGAAGAGGGGAGATGATGAGTGGTTGTGGCCGTGGTTTGTGGTGATGATGACGAAGAAGAAGAAGATGGTGCCGAGGCTGTGTGGGAGGGGAAGGAGAGTGTCCAGGAGAGATCGGTGGCGAGAAGGGAGGTGACGAGGGTGGAGAGGAAGTAGCCGCTGCGCGGGCTGTCCCATCGGGCGCGCATGGCCTCGAGCGTGCGGAGGAAATCCGACGCGGCCTCTCGTCGCTCCTCGATGACGCTGCCTGCAAAGATGTTCACCCACAAAACTCGCTGCCCACACACGACGCTGTCAGACCAAACAGGAACAAACTAGAACAGAACAGAACAAACTCCTCATACGTACGTCCAAGCGAGGCGCGGAGACGAGTCGATTGAAGGCCGTTTGAAAATTGCTGACCGCTCGCACCAGGTTTGGCTCGGTCTGGAAGGCCTGTGGATGGTCGAGCGTTACAATGATCACAGTGATCATTGGCGGGGCGTGTAGACGGACATGCGCGCAGAGGGAGGGGAATGCGTGGAATGTGCGCGCGTGCCTCGAGTGATGTGGGACAGTCGGGCGACAGCACAGTGCGCAGGAAGTGGCGGAGGAGGTGGTCCACCTCCCGCTCCACTCCGCTCCCAAAGTGCCACAGCAGGAAGTCCCGAAACTTGATCTGAGCACCCATACGTGCAGTGTCAGCACCGGGCGCGCAGCCTGCAACGACGGTCACAGGTGTGGAACGCAGGCGTACATCAAACAAAGCGCCGACGGCGAACGCCATCTTGAAGCCCTGACGCAGGCGAAGGGTCACCAGGCGCGAGATCAACACCTGCAGCGCTCGAGATAGAAGAGAGAAGAAGTGTTAAGCCTTGATGGAAAGTGCCTTGTAGAAGCTTGGAA